ATATACCGAACTATGTTCGGATTGCAGACTTTTGCAAATGAGTTCGAGCTGGTGTCATATTATTATGACATCGGTTAACAAATATCTATACAGCTAGCCACTCTCAATTGTACATAAAGAATCGGATATTTTTTATATCTTTTTAGTTTAGTGATGTGTTTTATTCATCGTCAATCAAGCTATCTGATAGTCCTACAGGACAGTGGCCTAGTGGATGCAAGCCTTGATTAAGTGTTGCTATTTACATAGTGGTCTGGCGGTGGAATTCATATATTTTGGATTCGGGGAACGTGCAGAAGCCATATAACAAAAACGAAGTAACTAAGAATTAATTAATACGAGTTATCTCCCCTAGTCTGGAGGGTGAACAGTCTCCTCCCGTACATGAAATAAATGATTCCGAGAAATGTTACCGAATACAACAAGCACATGAAGAACACTGGAGAGTACAACGGCCGAAATCATGTGACAAGATGAACACAAAAGTTCCAACACATCAATGTATAACAATGATAATTGCTCGTCTCAGAAATTCTATCCAGGCTATGGTGATTTTCTAAGCGTAGTTTAGATGTGGCACAAGGCCGAAAGTATGGGGCACCCAGCGTGGATAGAGCTCACTATTCAGTCATAATTGTTCTAGCGAAACAAGCTTGCTAACCATTACACCATGTTATAAAACCTGGCACCGTAGTTTAGATGTGGCACAAGGCCGAAAGTATGGGGCACCCAGTGTGGATCGAAATCACTATTCAGTCATTGAGGTGCCCAAATGATTTTCTAAGCGTAACTTAGATGTGGCACAAGTCCGAAAGCACGAGGCACCCAGTGTGGACCGAATTCGCTTGTTGATCGTAATTGATCTAGCGAGACATGGCGGCTAACCACTACACCACTTCGGAGTGCCCAAAGTTAATGATTCATTGAGCGAATCTTAGATGTGGCTCATGGCCGAAGGAATGGAGCACTCAGTGAGTATCGAATTCACTACTCAGTAATAATTGATCTAGTGATAGAAGATTGTTAACACCGAAGTGTCTACCGGTAGAAATTATGGTTGGTGTGGTTGATTTTGTTTAGCTGCATATCAACCACTGAGAGTCATTTCATGCCGAAATCTATATTTGTTCACAATTTTATGGCTTCAACTGCAGATAAAATGTATTGTTGGTGATTTTACTATAAATATGTATTAGTCATTTTTTTATATAAAAATGTATTGCTGGTATTTTTACCATAAAAATGTATTTTTATACTTTGATAGGGTTTTGTTTGAGGGTTCATTATTTGCCTTTAACTGCAATCCTGACAGGTGTTACCACCCCAGGTCAGGGTGAGCCTGGGAACAACAACAATTAAGAAGTGGTTCTACGCTCCTCAAAACCTTCAATCTCCCGATCAGCTGACGGATGTAGTTTATCGTCATACCCAGGACTTAGAAGGCTGTGGAAAAATCAAATGAGAAAGAATTTCATTGTACGACAAGTTTTTTTTTTTTAGTTTGCTATATAATGGGGCATCGTTTTTTATCAGACGAACTCCCAGGGATATGTGATGCTTGCTCAAAGAATTTTTTTTTTCTGTTGTTTGGATACAATGTAAAATGTGAGCCTTTTGATTAAAAAGCCACAATGATAAGATGAAAGATAAACTAATCAAAAATTAATAATGAATTCTTATATAATTGTTCTAACCTAAAAATGGTTACTGAATGAGGAATAACCAAAACGGAGGTTGGAAATGAAATGGCAATTTTTATAACACCAACAAAATACAATACTCGCTAGCGGCATGAAGTAGGTAAACCACTGCTAGTGGTGGACTACTTAGATATCATATTACCCCCACTTACAATAATGTCCAACGTATTTATGAGTATTGGGACATACCCATTAGTGTTCATAGCTATGGTATATAACAATTATTTAACTGGGCCGATATAGATAATATTATCTGCTTCGTTTCTGAGTAAAGCACAGGGTGTAACAGAAATACTTCCCACATATACTTCCAAGATATACCTCCCGCAAAAACATTAGTTACAATGGCGACTTCATCAAGCTAATATTTTTCCATTATGTGGGAGGTCTTTCTGTCGCATCCTGCCACCTTCTCTTCTTATTTCACTATTGTCATTTATAGAGTATTTTTAATACTAAAATTCAACCAATACGAAACTGTAAAGCCACTCATGGTAGAAGGTTAAAATAGTTGTTGTAACCAAGGGAAGGTTATGAATAGAATAATCACGCGAAGGTTGGTAATGAATGATAACACTTAAGACACGAACAACACATATAAGATTCGCTTAGAAGTAGTAGTCAACTGATAGAAGTGAGTCGATTGAATTCCACAATGAATCTCCAACTCCTGGATATCTACCAACTGCCCCATGCGGCCAGATGTGGCACAAGGCCGAATTTAATGTGGGGTATCCGAGCCCATAGGCTCGACCAAAAAATCCCCGTAGACCTCGTAGAAAACGAGATCGGGTAGCTGTTTCCCGAGACGAGACTCTGCCTTCGACATAGCCTCATCTGAAGATCCAGCACAGCTGGAGACGAATCTCCGACTGCAGACCAACATACAGTATATACTACTGTATTTATGTGAATGGAAACATACCCATATCGTCCGTTGGTATGCTACAACAATAGTCATAGCGTGTGATCTGAACGAAAGACGAGGTAAATAGGAAGGAAAAATTATGAGGATGACAGTCATATTGACCTGCTGAGCTCCACGTCAAATATCCTTTTCTTCTTCTTCTTTATGTGCCATGTCTCGTCAGGACCTAGGCGATTACGGCTCTCCACAACTTTCTGTCCTTTGTAGCTCTTAATACATTTTGTCTTTCTGTTATTTTCTCCTAAACTCTTCCGCTATCCACGTACTCAAGCCCGCTAAGTATGATATGCGTTGTTTACCTCCGTCCCTCTTGCCTTCAATCTGTCAACAGTAAACTAATGAGACCTAACTTCCAATCTAGTACTGCACTTAAATTCATAAAGTTGAGGTGCCAAAGACGAAAACCCATCAGACATATTATCACGAATATATTTATACAAAATGCACAGATAAACTACGTTACGGCGATGGGAAAATGATTGAAGCCTAGATGCCAGATCAGGACCGATAACATTGCATAACTTTCAAAACTGCATTCAAAATTGGGACGTTAATGGGAAACCACTCCACTATTTTTCTCAAGAATCATCATTGCAATGTGTAGTTTGCAGATGTTAAAGAAAAGGAAAGTGTGGCGAGCCATGATTGCGTACACCCTGAAGAGAGATGGCATTAAAAAAAATCTTAGAGAGCTTGACTTCAGTAATTACATAAGTATACTTGATATAAGTGTCCCCAAACACAGGACTATCGTTAAACCTTTCCAAAACAGAAATTATGATCTGGAATTTGAATAAACTCAGAGATGGCACCTACTCTGAACCTATCATAAACATTCAGGATGAGGAATTAGTAAATACTAAGCTCTTCAAATACATCAGTATATACATTATTTACTAACAAATTTAGTATAGGAGTTATGAAAATTGAACGTAGTAAAGTATCCGATAGGGGGAGTTTCGCCCAACACCGCACGTTGCTACAAAACCAAAACATTAAGCTAAAAACTTATGTTATGTACGTAAATAGCCTCATCAGATCGAGACTTTCATATGGATGCCATGCATGGTGCTAACCCGTTTAGAAAGACACATGGCACAGTGGATAAAGGCATTAGTTATATCTAGTGACAGCACCCGAAGTGTGAGTTCAATACCTGATTAAGGCGGTGGAGAACTTGGAGAGGGAAGTAATAGGGGATAATTGACATCCATTAGACATGGCACGTGGAACTAGAACAGTCTACTCCAGCGAGCGAAATAAAGGGTTCAGTTCGACATAACCCACTACCTGAAGAAGGCCGTCATAAATATAGCAACAAAGATGAGGATGACAGACCGAACAATGTAAATAGTGTGCATAATACCTCATCTCAGAAATATAGACAGATACCGTTCAGAAATATCTAAATTGTCAGCTGTACACCTTTTACAGAAATATGATTAAAATGGCTTCGAGCGAATAAAACCTGTAGGTCTTCGCGGGGACTACCCTTCTTCGAACCTAGTGAACTGGCGCTACAGAATCGTAAACAAAGAACTATGGTAAATAACAGAAACCGCATCATTTGAGGGTTTTCAACAACATCAACAATTAAAATGGATAGCACGTGTAACTCAAAGAGAAAATAATGACACTTTAATAGTGTTGACTTTCCACACTGCTTTAAACAAAAGGATAGGATGGAAACTTATTTCTTTACTGAAAAGCACGATAACCACTACTGGACGTAAAAAAATTATTTTCATGGTAAATTGATTTAATAAAACGATTTTATAAATTTCAACTGACTGCAGCATTGAATGCCAAATGTTTCTTTATAGGGAAACGGCTAATAATATCGTTACCATTAGAGATGAGGAGAACAGATACTCCACTGATCCCATCCTGATGACCAGGGAATTGAGAAAAGCGTGACTCGAGTAGCATTGGCTACTCGGTTAATGAATGCCGAATGTTTCCTTATAAGGAAACGGCTAATATTACCGTTGCCAGTACCAAGTTTCAGACACCAGATATTAGGTAATTTCTTCCCTCCCCCTTTTCTGGCTAGTAAATTCTTGGGCTAGAAAAAAAAACCGCGTACAATAGCGCTGTAAAATATCTACAAAGGCGTAAGATCGCTCAAACACTAAGTGTTAAAAGCACACTGCGGGCGAACAGGCACGAGTAACTGTTGATCACAATTTGTTATTTCTTTCTCTTTCAGTCATCAGACGGATTTATTGAGTGATTGATTAATTGAACGATTCGATTAAGCTGAGAGATCGTTATGATAACAGAGGGAAAGAAAAAAAAATGTGTAAATAAAAGAAACAACTCCCACCATTTCTCCACCTTCCGTCCCTCCTCTCACACTTGCAAAAAAAAAAATGTCTACATGCGCTCATGGGCATTATTTTGAATTTTATTACACTTTCTCTCTTTTTCTCTCCGTCTTCCCCGAGTATAGTCACAATACTCTATCCTTCTTTTCCCTTACTTTGGTATATATAAACACGTTTCTTTTTTCTTTCTTTCTCTCTCTCCCTCCTTCTCTCTTACTCTGTCTTATCCTTTCTAAATTTTTCACTCTCCCTGTTTACCGATCTTCTCCACTCATACACATGCTCGATTTGAACCTGTATTTCTCTTCTCACTTTCATCTACTCACGTTTTCTCTGTCTTTCCTTCTCTCTTTTTATTGTTGTTCACACACGCGCTTGCGCATGCGCGCACACTCAAATATGGTACAAATAGTGAAAGACCCACCATCTATATTTCTCTATTTTTGCCTTCCACATACACACACATGATTTATCCCTCTTTCACTATTTGTACCATGCACACACTCACACATTTTCTTCTTTTTTTTTTCTTTCTTTCTCAGGTCTATTTTTATTGTTCTCTCTTTCACATATGCACATATGACATCTCTCTTTCTCTATTCTGTACCATACACGTACACATAAGTTTTCTCTCTTTCTTTCTTTCTTTCTTTCTTTCTTTCTTTCTTTCTTTCTTTCTTTCTCAAGTTGCTATCAGTTGCTATTATTTCTTTTTCGTATGTGCACATATGCTTTCTCTCTTTCTCTCTCTCTCTCTCTCTCTCTCTCTCTCACACACACACACACACACATAATAATTTTACCATACACGCACTCACGTTCTCTTTCTTACTTTTTCATGTATGTTGTTATTGTTCTCTCTTTTTTACGTACGCACTTATACTCTCTCTCTCTCTCTCTCTCTCTCTTATTTATACTATTTGCGACCATTCTCTACTCTCTCTCTCTCTCTCTCTGACCCCCTTATCTTAGATCTCTTATTGTTGTTCCTTCTCCTTCACACATACACACACAGATGTCCGTATCCGTGTACATAAAAAAAAACTTTTGACTCCTGACTACTATTTTTATTCATTCATTATTCTGATTTTATATTTGCTATGATGACATCTTTATCTGTACACTTGTCAATCAATCAATAGAGAGACAAAGCTGGGCGACATTTAAAAAGACAGACAGCCACACAAAATGCAACAGAGTGGAGCAGATAAAATCTGAGATAAGAAAACTGATTGATATACATAAGAACAAAGGGCAAGAAGAAAATCAAAATAGATTGTGATTGGACAGAAATGTTCATAAGAAAGTGAAAAAGAGAAATTTGAAAAGCAAACACATACACACATACACATACCATATTCAGAGTGGGATAGATAAATCCTCCTCTAAATTACACAAAGAAAAATGAAAATAACACTGACATCTCATTTTAACAGATATATTTACCAAAATTACACAAAAGCATCTTGAAATACTAAATCCATGTTTCTCAACGTGGGTCATATGACACCTTTGGTGACCAAAAGATATTTTCAGAGTCCACAAAGCCAAGTTTGAAAAATGGAGAGACACAAGGGGCACAAAAATTTAGGACCCACAAAATATATATATATGGGGTGTTTTGTAATTAATAATTATTATTTAAGATAAAATATTAAATTTATTATTAAGTTAAATATTAAATTAATCTAAGCCATTTTGTTAACATAAATATTTATTTATTGTAATTTTTTCATCTGATCTATTCAAAATGGCCGTTTTTAGTTTTCAATTTCTTAAAATTTAAAACTCATAATTTAAAGTTTAAATTAAGGTATATTTTTACCAACTTGTCTTTCAACTTTGAAAAACTAAATATCCTAAAGAAAAGAGTTCCAAGGAAATGACTCCACCCTGTTTTACTGCAAGGAGGCAATTAACACATTTAATGGGAAACTAAATCTGTTCTGGTTGAACTTTGGGGAGACGGGAATTTGCAGTTTCCTTCCTTAGCAAATATATCCACAGAGCTGCTTGATGATGACCTAGCAGGGTATGTTGATCATTTGAAGCAGTTGCATAATGATATGAAAACTCGCTTCTCTGATCTACAAAAAATGACAGTACCACACTGGTGTCTACATCCTTTCATTGCTGATGTATCTGAAGTTGATATCACCCTACAAGAAAGTTTCATTGAACTTCAAAATAACACAGAAGCTAAAGTGAGGTTCAAACATGGAGGATACCAGAATCTGTGGATGAATGAAGACATGCATAACAATTTCCCACTACTCTGGAAAGATGTGAAGTTCCACTTACTCGTTTTTCCCACATCTTATTTAGTTGAGTCTGGATTCAGTTGGGTGATGCATCTGCTGTCAAGATCGAAATCGCCTTGACGTAGTAAAGAGAGGCGATTTATGTCTCTCTCTCTCTCTCTCTCTGACGGCTTTCAAGCCAAGCATTGGCAATTTGGCAGCCCTGCACCTGTTACAAGGATCCCATTGAAACCATACAAGATAGAGCTGATGGCACATGTATTTTTTGTTTTGTAAATAAATGAGTTTATTCAAATGAAATATTTATCCAAATAATATTCTTTGATTTACAACTGGAGTTAGTGTTTTGATGTCATAGTACTATTCAAACTACAACTTTTATTATTCCCACTTCCCTAGATGTACCAAGTTCAGAGACAAGGCAAAAGAGGGGAGACATTGGACTAAAGATTAAATGTATTCAATAAGATCGCCACTGGCATCAACCACAGCCTCCAGACGACTTCGGAATCTCTTGTAATTCTTCTGAAGGGTTTCCTTGTTTAAGTTGGTGAATTCTGTTATAATCCTTGCCTTCAGTTCATCTTGGTCATTACAAGGAGTTGTGGTGGTCTCTCGCGCAACTGCACCCTACACATAATACGGATGCAAGATGTGATGTGATCGCAGAAATTGTTTGACAGCCATGACTAGGTACTCCTACTTGTGTGGCATGTCCTGTTACCAGACATATGGTCTTCCGGCAGCTACCCTCTTGACCCAAGGCAGCACTACCTCCTCATGGCACTTGATGTACGCCCGCATGTTGAGTTTGAGTCCCACACCAACAAATTCAGGAGTTCATTTATCAGAACAATCAGAGTGGGTTTACCGAGCTGCCGTACCTTCGTAATCACCATTAGACTCATCCAATTCTTTCCGAATCCTCTTACATTGTCCTCAGATTGACACCTAAACACTCGAAAATGTTCGTATTGGAGCTTCCGGTACGAATGCCAAGCAGTACAGCATGCCGTTTCCAAATTTCTGGTGAATTGCGTCATGGTGCACTTTTTCTCACAGATGGTTCCCAACTGACCCTACTATACTGTGCAGCCGACAAAATCAAAAACAAACAACGCGCATGCGTAAAATTAAAATATAAAATGGCGACAGTTTACCCATCGCACCCTGTATATATGTCGCCGATGGGTGTTGATTTTAATGTCCACTTTTATATTTACATACACTCTATACATGATATCCAGCATTTTAACTCATAAATATACCATACCTTAAGACTATGTTTTTATCATATATATTATATATGTTGCTGCTTTTTGAAAGTGACTCACACGAGGATGCTTCCCTGATTACTATAATCTTAACCTGTTTAAACATAGGATTAACCGTTATCCTTCCCATGTATCTCCATAAATTGAGCCTTTCACCTCTTACTCAGTAACCCTATACCTAGAGCGGTACTTGGGCCTTGTACAGGGTGAACATCATTGAATTATTTATATGTATATAATAAATGAATGATATGAACTATGGACAATGTATATAAGATGAAATTACTTATTTCAATGTTTCAAATTTTAATATTTTACGTTTTTAATTTTCTTGTTAACATTTCGCTCAGATGAACATTCTCAAAAAGTTGTTGTTTTTAGAATACTTATACAGATGCAAAACATTAACAAGGAAATAAAAAGTTAAATATCTAATTGGTACTCAAGAATTCCATCATTTCCCAGATTCCATAAGTCATGTAGAATCACTTACAGATTGTCGAATATAAGACACGAAAAAGGCACCTCGGTGTGGTGTAATGGTTAGCTTGTCTTGCTAGAACATTTACAACTGAGTAGTGAGTTCGATCCTCATTGGGTGCCTCACACATTCGGCCTTGTGCCATATCTAAGCTAAACTTAGAAAATCTTTTGGGCACCTCGAGGCGATGTAATGGCTAGCAAGCTTGTCTCGCTAGAACAGTTACGACTAAGTAATGAGTTCGATCCTCACTGGGTGCCCCATACTTTCGGCCTTGTGCCACATCTAAACTACGCTTAGAAAATCATTTGGGCACCTCGAGACGGTGTAATGGTTAGCAAGCTTGTCTTGCTACAACAATTACAGCGTCCTAGGTAAACGTTAAACTACATCCGCGTCCTGGGTAAGACGTTAAACTACGCCCAGCAGCAAGGCCTCTGATCAGGAGGTTTTGAGTAGCGTGGAACCACCTCTTAATTGCTTGTGTTCCCAAGTCCATTCTGACCCGGGGTGGTAGCACCTGTTAGGGTCCTAGCTATAGGCAAATAGTTAACTATTACCGCCAATATTTTTTTGAGAAAAATCATTACCAGCAATACAATTTTGAAGGAAATATATTACCAGAAACAGATTTTTGACAAAAAAAAATATTACCAGCAATAAAACATTTTGTCGGCATTAAATCACCCATTGAGGTTGATATACCGTAAACAAAATAAATCAAACCAATCTAAACCAAAGAATACATATTCTATTCATACGAATCTATCCTAAAACTGTTGTCGGCATTAAATAACCCATTGAGGTTGATATGCCGTTAAACAAAATAAACCAAACCAAACCAAGCAACAATTTCAACTGAGTAGTGAGTTCAATCCTCACTGGGTGCCCCATACTTTCGAAAATCACTAAAAGACACAAAATAAAAACTCTGTTGTTGGTGTGATGGATAACGAGTATAGAGTCATGCCTCTTCTTCCCATAAAGCTATGTTTCGTTATATCAAATAGTATGATAAAGTAAAGGGACTGTTAAATATATAAAGTTATAATTTTATAGATAATACAGTTGTACTTCTAAAATCTGACCAAATATTCTGGTATCCCTTCTTTATCAAGCCGAGAATTTTTCCACGCCCACTCGTATATACGCCTATCTACGTTTTTTTTAAATAAAGCGATAGATAGATAGATAGATAGATAGATAGATAGATAGATAGATAGATAGATAGATATCTTTATCTCCAAACGTATGTTTGACCATAACATAATACGCGTGAAATGGTAAATATGCTTGTAAATTTAGAAAACACATGTACACGCGTGCGCGTACACACACACACACACACACACACACACACACATTTATATATATCGGCTTTATATACTTTACTTTTGATGTTCTATAAAACTGACCTCTTGCCTGCATTCACCAGCCTCCCATGCTGGTCACTAACTACCCGAGATACATTAGAGGTTTATTTACCAGTTTTTACATCAAAGAACCACAGATAGGGGAACACCGACATTACTAACAAGCAGAATCCTGGCAAAACTCTTTCGAGGAGTAATCACAAAAATATCGTAAATGCTGAAAGTAATATTGATCACATCTTCAGCATTTACAGATAAACAGATACTGAACAGACACTGATAGATAGATAGATAGATAGATAGATAGATAGATAGATAGATAGATAGATAGATAGATAGATAGATAGATAGATATGAACAGACAGCAATGAAGTGACAGCTATAGATAAAAAAAAAACTAGGATAGATAGACAGGTTTTGAAATGAATTTTCAAAAATGGAAAATCTTTCTTGAAGCTTTTATTTTAGTTTTAATTTCAAGCTGACAGATTAAACTTGGTATTTTCAATAAGCAAAATACTTTGTCGTTCTTCAAAACTAAATTTAAATTTACTAGAAATTTTTTTTTTTCTTGAATAACTGATTAGCGCCCTTTTTTGAGTCGTATTTAATCGAAATGTCATTCACTTTATTAAAAAAATCTTCCTAAAATAAAATTTTCTAAATCTTTATTTGAGGAATATTAACTGATTTAAGGTATAATTAATCTAATTTAAAACAAATATTATTTACTTTTAGTTTAAAATATCGCAGAAATGCATTTTTGTTAACACAGTGGTAGCTGTCTATTTAAGCTGTTGACATATTTGACAGCTTGATGACAGATTGATGTTTATCTAATATTGTTCTATGGAGGCTTTAGTCATAAAAATAATGAATATAACGCGAGCGCCTTTTATATATCATTTTTAAGTACACAGTAAACTTAAAAATTTAAGAAAATATCTTCTGTAATCTATTGTTTTATTGAATTTTAGACATTTGCAGATTTTCAGTAAATGGGGTTTCTGTCTGAGAAAAACAAATTGAGGATTTATATTTTCGAAGGACTCCTGCTTTTAACTAATATAAATATGAATAGGGTGGAATTTTTATTTCTCGAAATTTCATAAAATTAAGTAAGTGGGGGTAACAGATGTAAAAAAAAATATTTTATCAAGATTTTCTATAAAAAAATATTTTTTAATAATTACATTCACTTTTTAATAAATTCTGAAAATCTCTTTAAAATCCAACAATTAATTATTTGATTTTTGCAAGAATTTTCAGAACAATGTTTTTTACTGCAAAAAAAAGACGCTAAATTTCCTATACTAATTTTTAGCCCACCCGCTGACGCAGGAAATACAAGATTTTTAACCCAAATTTCAAACGTGCGGGAAAGGATTATTCAATAAAATAATAAAAAATACTTTGGTCTTTCCTCTTCATTTATAATAGCATAAGAACTTTGACGATAAAACTTTTGTGGCCTTTTTCATCATGGTATTTTTAGCGAATTTTTTGGGGGGGATAGATAGATAGATAGATAGATAGATAGATAGATAGATAGATAGATAGATAGATAGATAGAAATGAATAGACTGAGACTAGATAGATAGATAGATAGATAGATAGATAGATAGATAGATAGATAGATAGATAGATAGATAGATAGATAGATAGATAGATAGATAGATAGATAGATAGATAGATAGATAGATATGTATTTTAGTTTGCAATCCATCTTTAATACAAGACCGTTATGTTTCTCACATTTCCTCATGAACTGCACTTCTTACCTCTTTCTCTTACCGCTCAGATTACAACCTCTTTCAATATTCCTCTACCTTGAGTGGCTCTTGAGACTTGTATAAGGAGAACATTGATAAAAAAACAACATAGACAAGGTACTTTTTCATGTTTTTCTTGTGAGCGTATAACTGGCTTCTTTTCTGGACTACAGGAAGGGAACTTGTTCATCATTAGATGCATGCGTGGGGTAATGGTTATCAGCGCAGAAAATGAGATGAAGTACCATGTTCAGGTTTCAGTCGAAGTCGTTGCGTTGGCTTTTACATAAATAACTTTAAAAAGTATTAATGAATCTCTTTTCGGGCCACCGCCATGTAGGGGTTAAAAGTTTTGATTGGAAACCCGTCTAGAAGAATAATTCTGAATTTAAACAGGGTTGAACGTGAGGCTAGAAACTAACCCGATAAAAGCATAAATCATTGGAATCCACAGGAGTACCATCTATTGTGGTGGGTCCGTGTCCCAACGACTCACAGGGGTGGGGGTCTACAGAGTTAACATACAAATGTCCCACACTTATCAAATTCTTATATTTATTTGCTAAAGACTTAATCAGCAGAAATCTGGAAGTGTAGGTCATGCAATGAAGGTCGAACTCGTTACAATAATCAGAATTTGCTACAGCACATAAACTCTAAGTATGGTTTCAAATTATATTAAACTATGAAGCATTCTAAATATCCCCAGTAAATTGATATTTACCATGTTTAGTTTTGTACAAAGCTAAACGAAGGGAAAAACAAAGAAAGAAAATTACATTAAAATCTTTTAAATTTTGGGGAGAGGGGCATGCCTGCCTTAAAAATCAGCATTTCGAATTCTGGCTATCTGCCTCATGATTTGATCCCCTGCCTAGATTGAATGAAAATATTAAATCAAAAACCTAATAGTTTCAATTCGTGTAAAACATCCGTATTTTTATGCCATATGCCATGTCCATTCAAGACATAGGCGATAATGGTCTTCTACAGGTTCCTTTTCTTCAATATCCGTGAATTTACATGACTTCTTGGGAAAGATAGTGGAATTGTTTCCTTTTACCTGTGGAGATCCCGAGGTGGAAGTTAGTTGGAATAGAGAAACAAAATTAGACACTGTTTTGGAGAAATGACCAAAGATTTATTTTGATTTACAAGATATGAAAATGTCTCTGGAAAGTGATATACGGTAGCGTTCGAATGTACGGTGTACGTGGTGTGAGGTGAGCGCGTGCAAAAGGAGAATGTTTAACCCGGCTGACTGCTTGGAAGCTATCGGTTTGGGCTTGTCGAGTCGATAGCGTAGACCGTTCTCTTTCTGTGTTCACAAGAGATCGTTTTCACGACCTAATGGTCGAACGGGCAGTCAGTCGTGCTCCGAGCAGCCTCTATGTTTAGCGTGCGTGCGTGATCTCTCTCTCTCTCTCTCTCTCTCTCTCTCTCTCTCTCTCTCTCTCTCTGATTTCGGCTTCTTTTATAGCCTATATAAGGGAAACACGCGGACGTAGTTGTAAACATCTGTGCCAAACGTGAGTCGAGTCAATAATGGTTAGCGCTCTGGTATATTTGTGTTTGTTTCCAAATTTGAGTGCAGCGTGTGTGTGACTTAGCTAGACGAAGATTGGTGTATAGTTAGAGAAATATGTTTTCTAATAATTGTATAAATTTGGCTTAAATTTATCTCTTGTATTGTTATTCTGCTATACCTTCTTAACGCTTTTGAATTCAAAATAATCTTTCTTTTAGACTTTTTGCTACTCAAGGCTAGAAATCCCAGTCTACCCTTCTATTTAACCCCTACCTGGAGAAGAAGAAATCTATGCCTTTCCCAAGAGCATCAGTTTAGAAGTGAACGCAAAGTCAATGAATATTTTTACATACACTCAATATTTCAAACAGTGGCTCCAAGAAGGTAGAGGGATCACGAAATGATCGTGTAGACCCTGGGCAACAGAGCTGAGAATCCGTGAAACCTTTCGCAGATCAACAACAATTAAAAAGACACTAATCTGGATGTATAATGACAGTTCTACTCGCTACCAAATTGATGACTGGAAACAAAGCATGAAGTTTATTATGACAAGTTTATGGTCATAAGGGCACTAATTAGTATCACTATTTGCCACTAGAGGGCGTAGATTGTTTCCAATTGGCTGGGCACTTTTAATTGTCCCTTATTCTACTCTTCTTGTTTATCACCTTAGCTGTCTGTCTCTTCGTTCGTATTGACACATACACGTGTGCGTAGCCTCCCTCCCACCAAATAAATATATATACATTTCCCAAGCCACGACTCCTAGATACCACCAAATAAAAATTTGTATAAAATGTGACTGTAATGTTTAACAAGTTTTGGTCTTAAATTTTAGATAAGAAGAAAATGCATATATTATATGCCATGATTCTTCGGGACTTTGGCGATCATGGCTCTCCACAACTTCTTATCCGTTTTAACTGTAAACAATGTTTTTACTCTTATTACCCTCACAGTCTCTGTTCTTCCATCCATTTACACAAGCTTATCATAGAATTTATTAAACATTAAAAGATCTATTTACTTTGATGATTATAACATTTTCTCTTATATGCAGTGTTCCTTGAAGATGCGATAGATCATGGCTCTCTACAATTTCCTATCCTTTGTAGCGCTTAGCAATGTTTGTCTTTTTACTATGACTTCCACTCCCTTTTTGATAGGTAGGTTACTCGTTGTTTCGCTCCGTCCCTCTTGCCTACGATATGTCCTGTGAGTGTCAAATTTTCCAAGCCGTCTTTCCTCGTTAAGTGCCCTATTCAGGCATTCAACAAATAATGAGACAAATAGATAAAGTATATTTCATTTACGACATATTAAGATTATAAATTCATTGTTTGGGATTTTCGCTCTTCAGTTGTTTTGTCAAATTGCTATATCGACTTTTCTTTAGTTATCTATCGGTAGGTGCCAAAAAGTTCTTGCCACTGGCCACTTCACTAATTCAGTAAATGAATCAAAACAGCAGAATACTCAACTTTGGAAATGAGTCGATCCGGGAAATTTTCAACACCCACTCGAAGCTTTTTTTTTTTAGACCATCTGCACTTTTTTCTATTTTTTTCTATTGGTCTGTATTGTTGAGATAATTGCTTGTGCTGGCACTGTAGCGGTTATCGTGAGACCAGGGAGCAAAGTTCAAATTTCAGCCTGTCCTAATGCGTTCTCTTTTGTACCAACAGCTCTTGGGAAAGGCATAATTCCAGCTCATCTAACGGCTATAGGATAAATAGTAGGGTAGAGTGAACTCTTTGGTCTTAGATGCCAACTAGTCTGCGAGGAGGTAATTTCTGGATTCCAAACCATGGAAAAGGCAACGTAAAAACGTCCCACTATCTTTACCAAGAAGGCATGGCAATTCAGATCTGCATATAATAAAGAAAACGGAATCTTTGGAGAGCCATGATCGTCTACACCCTGAAAAATATAGCATTTTAAAAAAATATTGGTATTTAAACTTCGAGTAAAAACCATCTTCTCGCGTTTTGGAACTCAAGCTGAGCAGAACATCTCGATTCAAATAATTAACGCTACATGATTCTATTTTATTTACATTATTCGGACTGTTATCCTCATCTTCATTGCCATATTCAATGAAGATGAGGATAACAGTCCAAATAATGTAAATAAGGTAAATAATCATAATACCTCATCTCAGAGATATAGACAGATGACTCTATCTATTTCTGAAGTTATAATTTAATGCGTATACTTGTAAAATCTATCGCATCTATCTCTATCAGTTTTCATTATTTATGTTGCCTTTCGCTTTGCTAAAAAAACACATTAGTTCTTTTCTTTGCATTTTCATAGACTCTGTATTGATTGGGTGCTTAGCTACTGTGGGGTCCAATACAAGACTTAACTTAGGCTCTTACCAACGATTTCTTATTTCTTTTGCCCTTATCCTTCGTCGGTAATCATTCACTTATTTATTTATTTTTTTATTCTTCAGCCATTATAGTTTCCGAAAACGTTATGCCAAATTATCTTGGGTATAAAAATTATAAAAGGAAAGTTCGAACGTTTTTTCTAAGCCAGAAAATCTGCCAAAAAATAACGGACACAAGAAACATGAAAGGAGTTATTGCTTCAAATATCGCAGTGGAGATATAAGCGGACGATTGCCTCTGACCCGGCATTCGAGAAAGAAGAGTCTAACGAAAGTATAACCTACAACCCTCACCGGGGGAGAAATGTAGGATGTCACCTCAACAGCAACAGATGGAGATGGTGAACCTCTTTTCTAGGCATTTTGCCTGGTTGAAAGGACACAGTTTCTAACGACCCTACCTTAATTAGCTTTCTTCTCCTTGTTCATCTTTTCAAGTTCCCTTTCGAGTTTCCCTTCAAGAAAGTCTTTATTCTAAAATATCTCAAAGAACTTGAACTTTCTACCTTCCGAAAAGAAAATTGGCTCACATAGGAATATTCATGCAACCCTTTTTAAACACCTGCTGATTTTCTTCTTTTGTTTTCCTTTGTGAGAGCCTATTATCATTATTATTTAATAATACGTTTTTGTTATTTTAAATCTACATTTGGCCTTGTGTCCCTGTCAAATATGTTACAAATTCATTTGAAGGTTTATGAAAAATAAACCTTGTACGTGTGCAACATCATGTCGAGGTGCCCAAGCTAAATTTGGTTAAAGAGATTGTCTTCAATTACTGACTAGTGGTTTTGATCCATCATTGTAACCTTGTGCACGATGTAAGCTATACTCAATAAATACCTATAAATAATTGTCAAGGTTCCAGTTTTAAAATAAGAGTTGGAACAAGTCACCTTAATAAACACGAGAAAATTAAAAAGTAATCCATGACGAGCAAATAGTTCACTGGACCCAATCTGTCTATATGTAGCATTTCAAAAAGATAGGATGACAGTTCAAATCACGACAAAGCGTAATTTTTCTGTTTCCGCTGCTTAATAATGATCGTGGAATGACGTGTGTGATGATGTGTTGTGTTGAAAAGTGAAATTTACATGAAATAAGAATAAAAAGAAATAATAATTAACAACGATTCATCTAAAAAATTTGAATATTACAACCTTTTCTAAGCTTATCTTTTTCTCTTGGTCGCTTACTCTCTCTCTCTCTCTCTCTCTCTCTCTCTCTCTCTCTCTCTCTCTATATATATATATATATATATATATATATATATATATATATATATATATATATATATCACCCACTTGCTTTATAAATTTTGTTTTCAGTGTCCTGTTCTATCCTCTTTTTCTAATTTACATTGTCTCTGCCTTTCTTTTTCATCTTCATAGCTACATTAGTGAATCTCTCTCTCTCTCTCTCTCTCTCTCTCTCTCTCTCTCTCTCTCTCTCTCT